ATGGAACATCCGGAAATAGGACGTAGGCAATAGATGCATGGCAAAGTGGGTGGAGGATAAATGCATCGTAGATTGAGAAGAGGTTGGTGAACTAGGGGGACGAGAGATTCAGTGCCGGCGTGACAAAACAGTCGAATAAGTAGGAGCGCCCCACATTTTGTTTCGCTGGTTGGATGGCGTTGGTTGGCACCAATTGTGATTATGGCGCGTCCATGAATAGGCTTTGGTACGCAGCTTTGTATGCATCAGATGAAAAAAAGTGGCAGGGTAGATTAACCCTGGGAGTAGGGGGTCGCAGCAAGGAACCACAGTTGTTTAATGCCTTTTTTGAACTCACCGGGGAACCTTGATCCATGTAAAGTACCAAGGACCCCACCTAGTTCCGACTCTTGACGTTCCACTTTCGGTGATCAGAGTAGAGAGAACAAGCCACGCAGGTGACTCGTAACGAGAGAGATTTTAGTAAGTCACACTGCAGGTTTGCCACGTGGTCCTTGACCGGTTTCGTGGCTGTATTAGGTGAGGCTTCCGACGTTGCACTTTTATAAAACCGAGCACCAACGGTTGCATTGGTGGGTCAGACCTTTAGAGACGTAGTTCAAGATCTTTTGTTAGTTTACTATCGGCAAAGGGTAGGGATAAGTAAACCAGTTTTAACGATACTGTTTGCATCCGTTTGATGCCACTGGATAAGGCGGGACCAACACCGAAGCGACAATTAAAACGTGCGCGGTAAGGTTAGGTTAACTTAGTTCTGTCCTCCAGTCGCGTCGAAACAAAGGGACCTTGGTTAAAGTGAGTTCACAAAGTTTTTTAGTACTACGTGCGACGTAATGAGGTGAAACGCCTTGGCCCTATTCCTGAGGTTTTGTTGCAAGGCCCTAGGCAATATATGAAGCCGAGCCCAAAGACTACGGGAGACGGCAATGGGCTGAAGTTGAAAATTATGAAAATGAAAATGCTCCAAGGATGCAATAACCAGCTACAGTTACTTCGGAAGAGGGGAGGGACAGGATTAAAAAGAATAGAATGGTATGTATCATATTCAAATGCATGTTCCCGTTCAGCGACCCTAAGCCGGTTCCTCCCGTACTTTGTAAAAGCATAATTCACGCGGTCCAACACTTGACAGCATATGTGTTGTGGAGTACAAAAGGGGGGTCAGGATGTCTTATACCACGACGGGTACTAGGGGGTATGGGACTGCTTCTTTCATGTCCGAAGATAGTTACTTCACAGTCTGTTGTG